TATATATATATATATATATAGATATATGCATGCTTAAGTTTACGTGAATAAGAAATATTCATATCATTATACATATATTTTTCCATATATACATGTTTCCCATTTTACTTTTGAGTTGATATTTTTGTAACGTAATCTGAGCTAGTCCTCTTGAATTACCCTTTATTTAAGGTTTTTACAAGAATTACTTCCAGCGCTGGCGTCTATCTCATGGTGTGTGTCAACCACTACATCTTTATAAAATCAAAGGATTCCAGACCAAATGGAATCATGCGTCGTCTTCTTGTGCGACCGGCCTACGAATCTCTTCATCAGACACTTTTTCACGAAATGAAAGACAACAAAACAATGCTTGCTCAGAGAATTCATCCAAGGCCAGTTATTTTAAGTAGACATTCCATAATATACAAATCTCACCTGCATATCTTATCTTGAGTTTAGCCGCAGACATATACAAATCAGCAAACTATTATATTTGTTGCTTGGTTTCTGCCTCGTGCTCAGCCTTTAGCAGCTTTGTTTTTTTTGCATTGCCAGAAATTCCACTATCCTTCCTCACCTCATCTCATGAAATATAGGAAAATATATTTAGGTTCCATATACTAGTATCGAATATACTCGCGGTGAACATAGATTATTATTATTATTCTTTTCTCTACAGCTTCTATCACACTTGCTCCGATCTAATCCAGAGGTGCACCCTTTTTAAGTAAATTTGATAAAGCTTGATAGTACACTTCTGCAGTGGATCAAACTTGGCCAGGTAGACATTTTGGCTGAGAGAGGATGCAATGCGAAGATACAGCTCTGCAGGATGGATAAATGTGCCATACAAAAGGGAGGAGAGCTAGCTTAACTACGTCTCGAAGCCTATTGACTACAAAAAAACCTCTCAATAATGATAAGGTGACAGCAAAAATGAGAGCATCGTAATGGACTTGCGCAGTCAACTCTTTAGCCCTACCTGCATGTGCCAACTTGGTAGCCGAAGTTTCTCCAGCCTTGGGAGACTTGGAGTTTGGTGGTAGTCGCGATTTACCGGCACTTCTTGGGCCGCCTGTTTGAGCCTTTTCAGCTTCAGCCATCGCCACCGCCGGTGGCTGATCTTCATGTGGCTTGTGGTTGGAAAAAAGTGGTTTCACACAAATCACAATTTGAAAATGCTGACATGTACCAATACACTTTGGAGAAAATTAGCATAGTTGGGAAGAAAAGTGACAAAAATATCGCAATTATACGTACGTAATTTCGATAAATCTCCTTACATATCGTTGACAATCAGATAATTTTTGCGTTTACATTACTGCAAACGTCTTGGTCTGCTCTTTTGCTTGCTTTCTCTGAGTACTTCTGACCGGTTCCGGTTTCAAGACACATTCTTTTGCTTCCATGAAAAATGTGTGCATTTTTACCATTTAAAGATGTCTTTAGAATTTGACTTTCTTTTTACAACAAATTCAAGTCGACAGGGAATATGTAAAACATTTTCGCACTTCCATAACTTTACTAAACTCTATGCTATTCCTAATTAAACTCAGCGCAAAATCTTGCTAGTGCATGGTTGATTGATCCGTCTATATGGAAACTTTCTGCACAACGAGCCTAACAAGGCAGTTTAGATTCAGACTGGAGTACAATTACGACCTTGTTTGAGTCTCACAAATACCCACGATTAGATCCCAGCAATGAGTAGAGGTCCAATAATGTAGTCCAGCACACATACACATGTATGTCCATATTTTTGTGCGTGTGTCCTAATCTGTATAACGAAGCATCTTCGTTGTCGAGACATGCTTTCGGTTTGTTGGCATTTAAATAATTTATTTAATTTTTGATAAAAATACAGAAGGTTGTCTTTGCTCATTCTAATTATCCTTGAGAGGAGGGGTCAATTCAATGTATAATTGAATAATTGTCGCAGACTTTGGAAGAGCCCTCCTGGAAAATAATGAAATTCGATGGTGATTTGGCTATTCGAAAGAAGCAAGCTTTTAGCAACCTCTTCTTCAATCCAGTTTGGATTGTCACTGGTTCAAGGCAACCCTTCTTTGGTGTCTGATGAGGCCAACCTACAAACCCCTTTGAGCCGCCGATTAAAACAAAATGAAAGGTAGGCCAGCCTTAATCTAACGAGGTCTTCGAAGCCCAGCTTCTCTTTGTTCCAAAATGGTTATATCTATTGCATCGGGCTAACAGCCCCTTCCAGTGCAGGCAAAGTTTAGGCTACTGATTGATTTGAACTAAAAATATGCACAATTCGCGTCAAATTGAGTGAGAAAACTGCAGGAGAGCGACTGAAGCAGATTGTTCTAGAACATTCTATTATCGCTTACCTGTCCTTCAGCGCCTTTCTCCTGCGACGATGAACTGCGACTGATCACTTCGGAAATCTGCATCTCCGCCTCTGCATTCGCCCTGTCCAAACTAGCAGTTTGCTCAGCCTCGTAGGCCAGTCGTGCCTCCAGGTCTCGTTGCTCCTGTCGAAGTGTCAGAAATTGCTGGATCGTCTCTTTGACCTTTGTTGACAGTTGATCAATGAAAGCGTCCGTCAGTTCACATACATCGGCTTCGGAAAGAGGTTTTGCTGACGCTATAGGCAAACGAGAACATTGAGTTAACATTATGGAACAATGTAACTCAGAGCAAGTCAAAGAATGAACCATTCCATCCATTTGGAAGGTGAAAGGACAAGCAGCCTAAAAAAGTTGTTTCAAGGAAACAGGCTGTTAGGAGGTTGCAATTAGACCCTCGCTCGCTGGTACACGGTTCTCCATTGGTGAACGGAAATGGACCATATTCGCTCCATATGGTATCATTTAGAGTGATCAGTTGACAAGTAAACTGGAGAAGAAACGCATGTACCAAGAAAACTCTGAAGGAGCTGGATAAGCGAACTTGAAACGATTCGAAGAACAGACTGACAAATAAAATGGAATAATTCATTCAAGTTTTTCTCACCATTTGACCAAAGCGCAAGGTTGGCTAATTGTAGACGTATTTTTCATGTGTAAGTAGAGTCTCGAGGCAACCATTAAATCAGTAATATAAGGTGTATTCACCATATTTCGTTTAAGGTGACGAAGAACTGGTAGTAAAATTTTCCCAAAATGATATGAATGGAGCTGACGTTTCCATTTAATTTCACATAGCCTTGCATTCCCAAAAGTTGTTCTCCTTCAAGCACAAATGGACTGCAGGTTCGACCTCGTAGAAGTCAAGAGCGGGAGTCGAACCATGGCAGTGCAGTTAACCACTCGGTGTGAATTTCAAGAAAAGCCAGGCCTTTCTGCATAGAAGTAAATTTTTATTGCAGTTGTAAACGTGGATTTGCTACAGGGTGGCTTTGTTATACTGTTCTATAGTCCACCAGGAAAGGTGTCTGCAAAAGCAGAAACTATCATTTGAGAAAACTCACTAAAGCATCCAACCATCATAGCAACAAAGCATTGGTGTCTCAGGACTGTCTGGTGAGGATTTCTTCGCACAATTCCGCAATCACAACTCCAAAGCCCAAACTAAGACGTCTTTCCAAACTCCTAAAATTAAATAAAAGGCATAACAACAAGACGTATCAAGGGACTCTTCCAGGTCAAGGTTTTCTTCAATGAATAATGTTACTTAATATGAAATAAGTCGGTTTCGAATCTGACAATAAATCTAATCGAAGAAAGCCTGTCACCTTGGTTTGATTCAATTTACCAGGTTAGAATCTCGTTAGTTGTGCTGATGAAAAAAACTTAAAGTGCAGCTGGAATAGCAAAATCCTAAGGAAGGTAGGGCTAATAAAAAGGCAATTGTTTCGTGTGGCTCTCTACAACTTTCCTTGTGGGACATTTCTTCATAAATATTTTCATCCTCTTAAGTGGCTCAGCGTGATATATGTGCTGTCTCTATTCATACCAAAGAAGATTTCACTTGAAATCTCTTCGGACTAATTCTATATTTCTAGTAGGTCAAGTAAAACCGAATAACGTTGCTAATTATGCTTAATATTCATTTAGTCTAACAACTGAGGGTTTGGGAATATATCATACGGCCAGGAGAACATTGTATCAGCAATTGTTTAGATTATGCAAGAACTGAATGATGCAACTATTACATAAACGATTGCCATGTCGACAAGAGTGGCCATAAAGCTGAATTGTACCTTGAGTTGCCTAGTGATTTACATCATTTCACTGGTCCACTGACAAACGGGGCTGTATGGGGTAGTGGTGCTTTTGCCATTTAACGCTTAGGATTAGACCCTATCCATGCTAGTTTTACTTGGACGGTGATGATGAGGGATGAGGTAACATTGGATCGAGACTGGACGTGCAAAAGACGTAGTCTACAAATGAAATAGTTGAAAAGTATGTTTATACCATGAAGTTTTTTGAGTTGGAGTAGACAAGACAGAAGAACATATTATGAAGAAATTCTGCATCTGTATCGTGAAGACGTCGCTTGGGCCAGCACATACAAGTGGAGGGCACTAGATTGCGTTGAAACTCAGATAAAGCATAGTTACTATCATCTTCTTCTGCGCTTTCCTACTCTCATCACTGCATCTTTATCAATACCTAAAAGACTGTACTATAAAGCATCTCCATTGCATTCTTCCATTTTCTATTCACTCTTCTATTTCATTCTCCGATCTTGGCTCAGATCTCCTGTAGGTAGTCAGGCTCAAATCAGCAATCTCGGCTCCGAAGTCATCTCCCTCTGGACTTTAGCGAGAACAAATTATGCATCACTTTAATGCGACTTTAAAGGGGAAATAAACGATCAAATGACATTAACCATGAAACTCAGTTTATCATCATATTTATTAGTGTGTGATGAGCCTACCTCTCTCATGTGATGCACATTTTCAGCACAAACCAGAACCTTGGATACAGCATCACGAGTACACAACAACAATGGGGTTCACCATATGTACCTTAATACGCAAATCCGAGTAAGTAATGTCTCGGAGTCATTATCAGTCAAAAAATATGCCAATGAAACCAATGACAAAATTCGACTCCTCAACAGCTTTAATTAGCGAAGATTGCATAATTGGACTAGGACAGGACGAATCTTGCAGGTATTCCAGCAACAAAACTGACTTAACATCAAAGAGTATGAGTCAATGGTGAATTTTTTTACAGTATAAATCGAAAAAGGTCTAAAAATCTTTAAATTGCTTCTTGAATCAACTAAATAAATAACAATCGGCCACCTATTTGGTTTTGGGGAAATGCATTATCAGCCCTTCATTAGGCTTAGCGACCTATGGCGACTAAAGCTCTTAAAAAAGCTAAATAGATATTCTCGAAATCCTACTTAATTTGGATACAAATGAGTTAATTATCAAAAGGTGTGGTTAAAAGTTGCTTAAGAATGGGCAATTAGGCTATTTTTACTGTTGTTAGAAGAACTGTAGCGAAATTCTCTTATCAGTTTCTCATCAGCTCATGTGACCTAGAGTGAATAAAACTTTTGTTAAATTTCACATTTATCTTCGAAATCAACTCTATCCGGATAGTTTTTTTACTGTCAGCATAGATTTCCAGTGAAGTTCAAGTCTTGGTTTCGGCTATATTATTTTATTTTTAGAAGTAGTTATTGTTTTCGTGACTACCAGTAAATCAGTAATATGAAATGGTAGAACTTCTTCTACCACGTATCCATTGAATTTCCCATAGCCTCGCTTTCCTAAAATTTCTTCTTATCCAGGCACCAGTGGACTGCAGTTTCGACCTCGCATCGGTCTTATCAACACCCTCGGTAGGAGTCGAACCATGACAGTGCAGGATGGGATCTTGACGCGTTAACCACTCGGCTACACTGCCCCGATTGGCTTTTGGGTCACAGGGCAAATGTTAATTTTCAAGGAAGGCCAGGCCTTTATGCCATATCATATTCTTTTGGTGGAATTTGATGAAGCAAACGTATGTTTTGCTATAAAAATCGACTACTATACTTTATTTTTCGAATTAAGTATTGTTTGCGTGACTACCAGTAAATCAGTAATATGAGATGTAATATATGAGATGTATGTATATTATTTTATATTTCGACAGAGCTATATTCATCCTATGTCGCATAAAATGATGAACGATTGATGGTTGAATTTTACAACGGTTCCAATGAATTTTCAAAAGGTATTCTAATCCAGGCTAGAATGAACTGTAATTCCAACCTCACCTGGGTCGGCTAGATGGAAATACCTTTAAGAAAGCAGCGGTAAATTGACTTCACTGACCTGCTGAAGCCTATACATATCATTGTGGAAAAGTTTAACTATGAGTCTTTCAGCATCTTATGCGACCTAGAATGAATACACTTCTTATTCATATTGAAGATATGACGACCAAGATGTTGTGGTCTCTAATATGGTCACAGTCTCCTTTCGCCTTATATAAGTGGGTTGACCTCGCTGTCGCTACCTGGTCTTGTTGCCAAGGCGACTTAGTAGAACGCACCTAGTCCGAATTCGTCTGTGATAGTAGTTGTTATGATTCCCAGCATCCGACAGTGGACTTGGTACATTCTCAAACGTTAGTCCGGCATCATAGTCGGCATCATCAGTCAGTTTTGCCATTCTCGGCATTGAGCTACGAACTCGTCAAAGAGACAAATCGAGTCAATCTCTCGACAAACGTTCTACCGAAAACGGTTACATTATCACTCCTCTTTCTGTCCTGCCTATCAAAATAAATAGCAAGTGTGATGAGGCAACACTAGATTTGCCACAAAAGGGCACACATTTTCACGAGTGGGATGTAAAAACACGATAGAACAAGAGTTGATAAGAGAGTAAAGAGTAGATAGATAGGTCAGGACATGAAGAGAAGTGACAGTGTAACCGTTTTCGGCAAAACTTTTGTCGATGGATTGACTTCACTTGTCTCTTTGACGAATTCGTAGATTGGTGCAGAGCATGGCAAAACTCACTGATGATGCCGGAGAAACGTTTGAGAATGTACCAATTCCACTGTCTGATGCTGGGAGTCATAACAACTACAACGGCAGACGACTTCGGACTAGGTGCATTCTACTAAGTCGTCCTGACAACAAGACCAAGTTGCGACAACGAGGTCAACCCACTTCTTATTCATAGATTGTTGTCTTCCTCTCTGTTGCATGCAGAGTCAGATGATGCATGTAGAAGGGGCAAAACTGCCTTCTACAACCACGACCCAAAGTCCACGGTTGGATTAAAAATAGTTGTCTTGTCAACGTGGCATTCACAGAGACCTACCAGAATGCGTGGTGGGCACCTTGACTTCACCATCCAAAAGTACCATTCTGCTCGGCTGGTCCACCGCGGCATACAGCTTGGCCAAGCTGGGCCAGGCTGTGTGGAAATGTGACAGTCGAGCCAACAATAGGCTTGTGCCTTCTGCCAACTCTTTCGATCCACTAAATGCAGTTGACCCTTCGAATGTGTCGACTTGGTCGTCGAATGCCGTTTCATCCACGGCCGGTTTCAACTTGGACGCTCTGTATATGGCAGTATCATCGGACACGTCGAGACATACCACCAGGTCGAGGCCGATTCTCCGCTCAACCGCAGAGGCGGTATGAATTACCATCGACTCTGTTGTCTGGTCGGCGGTACCATTTGACGCCTGGCCAGAAGGTGATGAAGACCGAAATGGAGCGGGCGGAATGGACGTTTGTGCCGTTTGCCCCTGGACCTCATTGAATGACGCTTGCGAATTGTCATCTTTCTGGGCTGCTGGCGAATCTGACTTCACCAAACTGTCCTCCAGACAGCTGGAGCTCTGGCAGCCGGTGACCATGTCATCGGCGGAGCCCTGAACAGATCTCAAATGTTCATCTTCAATCCGACCGATGGTCAATCGGTTCTCGAGCAAGTCGGCCTGGCATCGGGTGGCCGGGAAACCGTCGAACAGAAGACCAACACCCGATGGCAGATGTCTGGGAATGAGATTAAATGCAAAGAGTATTATGGAAACTGAGGGGGGGAATGTTAGTCGTCATCCATGTTGTCCTGACAAACTCCGAGACCCCAGGCGAGTTGACCAATTATATGTGATGGGTTCCATCTATTTCGTTTTGACAGCACAATTATATGATCATACCTTACCCTTTCATTAACTTTCGTATAGCCTTGCTTTCCCTAATTGTATTTACATCCGAGGTGGACTACATTTTCAATCACGCCCCAACTGGTCTCATCAGTTCCCCCAGCGGGACTCGAACTATGACAGCGCAGCGCATGAGGTCAACACGTTGACCAGTACGTCAGACTGCCAGGATTGCTCTTTGGTCATAGGGCAGATGTGAATTTCGAGGATCACATTATAGATCCCATTCTGTGGTGGGATTGTCGATAATACAAAGATGCATTCGCTATAACAATTGAATACATTATATTTTTCCTTTCTGTAAGTAGGTTTACAAGAGTACCATTACAGATGAGATGTATCAGCCATATTTCGTTTAAAATGTTAAAGAACTGGTGGTTGAATTTTCCCATAAAGTCAGAACTACAGTCCTTCCTGTGACATTCAATGGAAAGGTATGGCTTACTCTTAGCTTAATTGAAAAACTCAACCAACAGTTTTTCATCACCTTAAATGAAATAGAGCGAATGCTAACGCTTGTGTCAAAAATCTCTGATAATGGCCTAGGTTACTCCCTTTTCCTTCTCTATTCAGACTGGAAGGTACCATATTGCCATGAGAAGTCCAGCACACAGTTTAGTGATATCGCCCTAGTCACCAAATAATCACATTAGAACTTAAGTAAAGTATTAAGAACAAGAAAATGAGGAACAGTATTAGTAGGGAAGAAGCCGTATATGTGGAGAAGATATTGTAGGTAATAGATAATGGACAATCATATACGGACACTAAAGTACTAAGGGCTAGACGTAAGGATTTTATGCAACACTGTGAAGAACGGGATAAGTGGAAAGTGAAAGTACTACTCCAGCGAGATACTACTGTTCAAAGTACATGAGCAAGGTCCCCATTTTGGATTAGTGTGAATAACAAAAGTACCTTGATGCATACAAAATGACGATTTATTTGTATTCAGTGTCTAGGCCAGAGATAATATTGGATGAGTTGAAATTGTCATGTGAAGACTATTATGGTCCTCGATGAGGACTTGCAGATATTCATTTGGAGAATAAGTCAGATTGGAATGAAATGACAGCCTGTCCTTCGCCGCTGTTGGTGTTTGGATAGGCACTGCGACTCCAGACGATTAATACACTTAGTTTAAATGTTTATAAAGGCCGAAATGTAACTGCCGCCACAGCTAAAGTGTAATAAGACAGGAGATTTTGTATCATTTGAAGTTAAAAGCAAATCGCAGATACCAAACAATCGTCGTCAACAACTAAAAAATATTATCTTAACTTTGGAGAGTGACCTGTTCTATTAAACTTGACTGAATTCATTTTATTATTGCTACCAACAAACTTGCAACTAGCATTATTGTTTGCTGTTAAGATCCATCTAGATAACAGAAGATTGCAATTTTAAGAAAATTTTAACGAAAATGGAGCATTTAATTGAGATTACCTTATTTCTTCGAAGATCAATTCGACAAGGAGTTCGTCACTGACCACTTGACCTTCAATCAATTCTTCCCGTACTTGCCTCCCAAGAAGCACCAGTTTCTCCTAAAATAGAATAGTAAAATTGTTCGTTAGTAACAAGCGTTTCATTCTCGTTAAGATGCAACAGCTTCGACTTGTTCTGTCGGACTGACAACAAATCTGTCCACGACGAAGTGAAAATAAGGCTTAAAATCTCTTAATTTTCTATCCTAGTCAGGAATTCAAGCATGGTCTCCTTCCTTCTACTCATTATAAGCCATCAAGGGATTAGAACCAGAATAATCTGTTTTTCTCTCAACTGATACGTCCACGATTCGACTTATCTTGGGACGATAGTGAGATGATGAGGTATGGTCAAACTACAGACTTGTCTAGAGAACATAGGTTGCATGAAAGAGTGAATTTGAACACAAAATTCGAGCTAATCTTTTTGTTTATTGCGGCCAGATTCTATATGATTTTAAAGCAAAATAACAATCTAAAGTGATGCACATTGACAAAATCAAATAAACTTTCGAACAAAACCGATTAAATGTTTGTGTTTAGGCAGAGAGAAGAATAAATACCATATAAAAATGCCAGCATCAGGCAAGCAAGTAGTTGGAGCAGCTTTATTAAGCAGAAAAGAATTTAATCGAAAGTATGAAGAACAAGATATTGTGGCCTTTTGTATGATCGCGGTCTTCTTGTCTTCTATAATAGTTGTTTAACTTTGTTGTCGAAATTTTTTTTCATATTGACAGGAAGACCTAGTGGAATGCACCTTGTCCGGAGTCCATAATATGCATGATAAATTCCATAGCCAGACTATGGACTTGGTACATTCCCAGACGCTTCACCGGCATCGCAGTCGGCATCGTCAGTGAGTCTTGCCACTCTTAGCAACACACTACAACTTGTCAAAGAGACAAGTGAAGACGATCTTATGACCAATTGCCTACTAGACAATCGTTGTTTCTCTCCTTCCCCCTATGTGCTATTCACCAATTCTATATACTCGTATCATCCATTCACAATCATACTTTTTTAATTGCTTATTTAGATGTGGTATGGTGTGTCCTTTTTAGCGGATGTTACAAGACCTCTTCAGACACTACGCTGGCTTTCTCAGCCCACTCCCCTACCAGTGTGCTGGTAACTTTTATCTGAATCTGCCATATTATCCCCCAGTCCTTTTCCCATAAGTCCTATCACAATCACCCTCTTGTCCCGTAGCATCCGTCTCCTATCACCCTGGTGATAACATTAGTGGAGACAACACTTTTCACCAGATTCATGT